TGATGTTCATTTGTTCCGAGAGGTGAGGAAATGAAATGTATGGCCTGACGAGGGGTTCCTTTTCATAAGGTGGAAACCAGCTCCCCATTGTTTGAACTTAGGGTAAGATATGGGAAAGCTAAAATAGGTTATTTTAAGTCCTAGTTTCATCAAGTCCTTAACAGTAAAAAGGATGAACTTAAGATAACATTCTATTAGGTGGGTTGGTTAAGATTTTAAGCAAATTAAGGGGAAATATCAGCATAGTATTCAGTATTGCACAAAATGGGTATTCTATAAACATAAATTAAATTAAAAATTGACATCCTAGATTTAGGTTACAGGAAAATCAAATGAACCATCGAGTCATCTCTGGTAGCATCCCTAACCCTCTCTGTTAATATTTGTGATCTTGCTCTGGCTTTTTAAAAGCAGTGCTGACCAGCCATCAAAGAGTACCAAAGCAGATGTGCTTCTTCCCGACCGTGCTAAGGGTGGCAGAGTATATTTTTGTCCAAGAAAGGAAGAATAAAAGAAGTTACTAAACATACATCCCAAGTTCTTAAAACATGCCATTTGTGTTTGGGATTTCTTTCTCTCAGCAACTAAAATAGCTTAAGTTAACTATTCAAATCTTTCTACAAAGCTGGGTGATAATGGCGGCCCAGCCACAGCAAAGAGGGAAGACAGAAGAACTAGGTAAGGGAATGAAAAATATGTGCTGGCTAGTTCTTCAGCTCAGTGCAAGGAGTCCCTTTCACACTTGATCTCACATGAAAAGAATCAAAATTAGTTATCTTAGAATAGCTTCTTCTGGTTGCGGCATTGCCTATTTTAAGAGGAGATTTATGTTAAAAAAATTAAAATTAAAAAAAAAAGAAAGAAAAAGAAAACCATTTCTTAATACTTTAAATGAAGAGATTTAGAAAGCAAACAGTGACTCGAAGATCTTTTATGCTAGGTGCTATTGCATTCACTAAGATGACTTTGTTTATAATTGCAGCTATTTCCAAAATCCTTACATTTCTGTTGCCATGAATTGCTAGGGTTTTCCTCTAAAGGTCAGGTAGGAGTCACCAAAAACAAACGAGGCTGAGGAGTCTAGAAAGAAGTAGTTCTGCCTTTTCCTTTAAACTTTAAGGTATAATTCTTAAAGACTCAGAAACACCAAATTCAGCCTCTAGACAAAATGCTAAAAGTCTAAGAAATCATGTGACCAAAGTGTTTTTCAACATAGTTCAATTTTTTTTTTTTTAATTAAAGAAAGGATTTTTTAGCTGGAATTTTTCAAGAAGTAGCTAATACCTTTTTTTTTTTTAATCTTCCTTTTGATTAGGAAGAAACACAGGTGTTTAAACCTGAAGTAGATGGTTTTACATAGAAAATATGTATATAATTTTGTTAACAATTTAGTTATTCAGGGTGGTTGACTATCAAATTCTATTAAAATCCCATGAAGGGAAATCTCAAAACACTTATTATGCTCCACAATTATTGTAAGCAAACAATTTAAATAAGAGGAGGAGATAATGACATTAACTTTTTAACTTAAAGCAATCCTCTGTGGCATGATTTTAAAATATTCTCTTGGTCTGAAATTTATGTAAATTAAATTCATCTTCCATTGGTTATTACCAGCCTAGCTACATTTTTAAAAAAGATGATTTTCTGTAACAATTAATTCTTTAAAACACTGTGTTTTAATTAGACCCGGGACATTATTAAACTAGCTATAAATATGTACAATATTTTATTTGGTATACCCAGATGTCTGAAAATCAACAAGAATGCCCTCGGAGTTTTTCCTCAAAAATTCTTCTAATAAAAGCCTTTCATTCAAAGTTTTAATGTAATCTGAAGTAAGTACCGTTTTCAGATTTCATTATGTAAATACAAAATGGTCACTCATAACCAGACAGTAATAATTGGATCCATGTATTTTAACACTCACAGGAGTGAAGTCAGAGATAACCAATTTCTTCATTATATGAATATCCATGGATACGCACACCCAAAGTCATGGCAGAGCTTGGACAAAACCTAGGTCAGTTATTTCTACCCCATTTAATCCTCACCACTGCACAGTTTAGGTACTATCATTATCCCATTTTACAGAGAGGGAAGGTTATATGGTTAGGCTGGTATTCAGTCAAGTATTCAGACAAATCTGACTCAGAAACCATATTACCACCCATTATACTAAGTTTTTAGAATAGGTAGATATGTTCTATTTATAAAGAAAACTCTCCCCAAATTCTAGCATGCACCACCCTTTATAAGAAAAACAAAATTATAACAAAACATGAAAGCTATAATTTGGAGTTCAAATAAGTCCTTTTCCAAGCCCAATAAAAGCATCAACTTCTCCCTGAAGACTTCTCTTCTCATTCATCTGAGACTAATCTCTTTCTTCACACTCCTGACAACTGCTGTATAGTGTTCAAAGTGCTGGTTGCCTCTTAAGACCCACTTTCTTCTTCCTTAGTAACAGAAATCCAAAAGTTAGCTCTCTGCAAATTGCCACATGTCCCAACCCCTCCAGTGGCTAGGTAGAATCATATGACTAGGTTCTACAATAAACTATTACTGCAAGTATGGTGCTGAAATTCTAGGAACGCCATTTTAAAAAGCAGACCTAACTTTTAGGGACGCTCTTTGCCTGGCTGCCCAGGTATTGTTTTGGCTGGAGCTCCAGCAGCGATCTTGGATCTGGAGGCAGCCTGGAGGAAGGGAGCTGCATGCTGCAAAGGGTGGAGGAGGAACATGGGCGTCTGGGTCCACAAGGAGACCACGCAGCCTGTTTGTCACATATGGTCAGCCTCGATCCAGATGTTACCTAATAGAGAAACAGCCTCTATCTTGTATAAGCTGCTATTGTTTTTTTGTTAAATAAGCTGAACCCAACTCAAATTGATTTAGTTCAGACTCATACATATTTTATAATCCAAGGTTTATTGTAACTATGATGGAAAAGGTGAAAAAATAAATTATTTCTTTTATAATATTTGAGCAAACACATCTCCAAACCATAATTTTCATTCTCAAACCCTTTCTGGTACTTTTCAACTTTGGGAAAGGAAAAGAAGGGAAATGAAGCTGGAAGAAAAATGGGAAAAACACTCCGCCTCTCTGCCATTGCTCTGTGCGTCCTCTCCTCTCTTCTCCACAGCTAGGTCCTACCATTCTTTGAGGCCCAGGTCAGCGAAACTTTCTATCTGACCTTTGGATTCAGAGTCCAATTGCCCTCTGCCATTTGACAGCCATATATCATACAGTAACATCTTTTGTTTGACTTCTTAACTTTTATACTGTATTTCTTTGTCTATGTGTCATCTTCATAACATAGTGGGACCGGGGTCATATTTCTTTGCACCCCCTAGAGCTTCCAGAGAACTACCTCTGTGTGCCAGGACATCAATGAGTACTTTTGATTGATTAGTTACGTTAAGGTGAGATAGAAGATGAAGAAAGAAAAAGAGCAGAAGACTAAGGAATGAGAATGTACAAACTCTTAGAAGAAAGCATAACAAAAAAAGCTGAAAATTCCCCAGGCCAAGTTTGACTTCACTTACCAAAAAATTGTACCTGTAGAACAAATACCATGAACTGTCCCTTGTGCACACGGCCAGTACAAAGCTTAGCCTATTGAGCTTGTTTTCCAAATAAGGGACAGCATATTTTGCTTCAGTTACTCAGACAATTGCCTCAACCTCACTTTCTTAATTACCTTAGACATCTGACAGAGTAAGAGATTCAGCTTAGGAAACCATGTTTCCATAGTGAATGTATATGATTCCAAACCATATAATAAAAATTGGCTTCTAGCAAGATCATCTTTAATAAGGTATTCTGTCGATGTGAAAACATATAGAAAATAATAGTTCCATACATGCAATAATTACTTAAAATATTATTATGTCTAAAGTAAGTAGTTCATGATATCATTTTCATTAAGTAGACACTATTATCTCTCTTCTAAAACCCAATAATAATACAGCTTTGGGAATAACAGTACTATTTTTTAAAACATAAGATGTATTTTAAACATATTTTGCAGAAGCTATGTAAGTAAAAGCTTTGTAACACTGAAACATTAAGATCTGAATAGAAGTATATAGAATTAACACATTTAAACATATCACATGTTTAAAAGCTTTCACTCCATTTAAACACATACAATAAGTCAAGGATATTTTATACAGAAGCAGTTTACACCCCACTGGTTCTAGTCTCAATTATTTGTACTACATATCTGCTAATAAGTTATGTACCTAAAAAGAAAGTTTCTAATTTATCTCCATGAATTCAGCATAGTTTTAGGGAGGATATAAGTAAAAATATTCAATTAATAGAAAATTCAACTTCTTTCTCATTCTTTCATAACAAGTCTTTGTTATATCATCTATTTAAAAATGATTAAAAATGATAAAATAGTATTGTCCTTATCATTATATTGGTTCTACTTATGAAAGTTGAACTATTTTTATATAGAATTTGTATTTTGCCTGTCAAAAAATATTGTATTTTCTTGCAAATTACTCATTAATTTCCTCATTTCAACTTTTTTTCACATAGATTTCTCAGAAGAAACCAAGATAGTAGCTTCTTTGACAATGGAATGTACAAAACAAATGGCATGTCAACAAGTAAATTAGCATTCCCTTTCTGACCACCTGGGTCATGTTTCCTTTTCAAAATCCTCATTCCCATGATACAAAATAATAATAATCTAAAAGACCTCATTAAATGGTCAATATATTGACATAACCTCTATAAGGAGACACATAGTGTTCTAATTGATTCCATGAATCCATTACATGGAATATGAAACCCAAGTCCCCAATTATAGTGTAAGATAAATTTTTCCTTATTTATTAATTAATTTTCTCCCAATTATGAATAATGGAGCATAAAAAATTAAAACACTTTTATATTTGACTAAACAATAAAAGAAGTCCAATTTCACTAAATCTTTCATATAACAAAAGTTATAATAGACAAGTTAAACCATGTTTACTTACCAGAAAACTTCCAAAGGCTGAATTAAATATTGCTGCTGCCTATAGAGAAAATAAATAGGGGAAAAACTCGCTGAATATGAATAGGAAAAGCAAAGGTTTTCGTTGCCCCATCCCCCACCATTCAAAATCTTAAAACATTGACCCTATAAAACAAAGTTAATCACTGCTTACAAAATTGCCAGTAGCCTATTGTTTACTAAGATAGATGAGCTGCAAGTTAGAAATTCATAAATAGTGGGTCCCAAAAGCGAGCAGAAAAGGCGTGCATGAGATGCTCTGAACCTATACAACAGGACCAAAGAATTGTCACCAGTAGTAAATTGAAACCTTGTTGTTATTGATTTTGCTACTAAAGTTAAAACAATCAGAGGGTGATTTATTCATAAAAATTTTCATATTACTGGGAAGTGAAAGACCAGAATTATATTAAGAAAACATTGACTGCTCTCTATCAGGGAGCCGAAGTCCTCGGAGATACACCCAGCAGAGAGATCTGTGGCCTCCATACAACACACATTAAAATTATGAACAATGTTTTAAGACCATGAAAGTTATTGCGATTCAATTAATTCTAAGGTAGAAATAAGCAAGAAACACTTCTATTGAGTGTTCAAAATTTAAAGAAGAAATATTTGACTTTGCTTACCTAAATATCCAGGGAATACACAGTAGATGTAACACAGCTCTTAACTTTCAATCAATCACTGTATTCCTTGAAGCTACACCTGAATCCTAAAAGCTTCTCCTATTACTCAAAAAGGATAGGAACTTGTATAACATCCAATTTGATGAAAGAAAGGAGAAAGAAAGAAAATAATAATAAAAGGCAAAAGGAGGGGTAGAGAAACCTATTGACACTTCCTGAAGATCCACAGCAGAATTATATTAATCACCATGGACATTTGCAGCCACTTCGTAGTACGAAGACGATGCCAGTTTAGCAAGTTTGAACAAAGTCCAGAGCCAGGAGCTAGGAGCTGCAGTCGACATGCCTTCTGCTCCAGAGGAGGAGGCGATGAGAGTGCATGGGTAATGAGATCCTTGGCTCCGGAGAGCTTAGCGCTCCTGTTCAAGTTCATAATTAATTCAAAGCTTTGATAATTTCATTAGATTTCTCCTTTGCTGGCCCCATCAATAAAAGATGGCACTGAACCACACCTCCTCTGTGGCATAAACATAGGTATAGGCACAGACCAGGGAACCCTCTGCTTCATGACAGGGACAATAGCATATGGTGTTCCATGTTGTGCAGGGAGCAGTGGAAGAAACAAAGATTTGGCTAAAATAAAACAGGGCAGGGGGCAATGGCAAACGAGAGCAACATACACGTATCTTCCTGGAGTTCCGTTATGGATGATTCAGGAAAAAAGTTTGATGTGGGGAGGAAAAAGAAGTAAAACGGTAGAAAGAAATGAGCTGTAATGAGATCAACTACCTTACTTTCTACAAAAACGCACCTCCCCACAAACAATGTTTATTTCCAGGTACTATGTTCGGCTTACAATGGGTTGATCTCTATTTTTAATAAAGAATGAGGCCTTCCTCTTTGAGCTCCTCTCTTCTAAACTCACTCCTTTCCAGTGCCTTTCCCCAACCATAAACTAGCAAGTGATGGTGTTGCCTAGCATTAAAAACAGAAAGAGCCCAGGCGCGGAGCTTGAAGATGGCGACCGAACAGTCGGACCTATTCTGACTCTGGTCCCAGAACGGATAAAGGGGGCTTCTGAGTCGCTCAGGGAGAGTTGATTGGAAGCTAAGGGACAGCGGAGCTCTCAAGGAGGGTAAGGGAGAGTCCGCTGGACAGGATTTCCTGACCAAGTGGCCAGGACGGCCGCGGCAGCAGCAGCAGCAGCAGCAGCAGCAGCAGCAGCAGCAGCAGCAGCGGCGGGGGCAGCGGAGGCAGCGTGCGGTGGGCTGCGGGCGTGGAGGAAGGGCTGCATTGTCTTGCCAGGAAGGAAAGAGCTTCTCTGAGGCGTGGAAAACGCACAGCCCGGAGGTCCATCGAGCAGCTGAGACTCCCAGAGCTGCGCAGACACGTGGATTCCGGGGAGATCTTCAGTCACCCACGGAAAGGTCAGAGTTTGCGGGGATAGCCTAAGGGATCTGGGTTCCGCGGCAGCGAGCTCCGGCCCCGCCTCCACTACGGCAGCCGGGGAGCTCCGGCCCGCCTCTGCTACGGTAGCCGGGGAGCTCCAGCCCTGCCTCCACTGTAGACGGGTGCGCGAACTACAGCCCGCGGAGGCGGAGCGGAGCCCAGAGAAGGCTACAGCGACACCTAGTGCTGGGTTTGAAGTAATCCCCCCCAGAAGAGGGGCTTTTTTAAAACGCCAGGGGACAAGGGACAGTGTGTTAAGAATAGCGGCTGTCCCGCCAAGGGCGGAACATCTGGACACCTTGGCACCGGTTCCCATTCATCCCCTTGCTTCTGAATACTAGAGAAGAACTGCCCAGTGGGGCATAGCCGGGGAAATTGTAGGGGGAATTTGCCTTCTGGAAACAAGGGATTGGAGCCAGAAGACATAGTCCTGGAGCCAGCTAGAGCCATAGAGAAAGAAGGCCAGAGCAACCAAAAAGACTGGGAGGTCAAACCGGAAACACTGACACCTAAGAGCCGAATTACAAACTGCCTTTTTTTTTTTTTCTTTTTCTTTTTTTTCTTTCTTTTTTTTTTTTTTTTTTTCTCTTTTTTCTTTTTATTAATCAAAAATAAACGGACACAAATAACTAAGATATAACCTGCTTAAAATTAAGGTTTACCTTACAAAACTCAGGTGCAGTGGAATGCTGGGGACTGCAAGACTGTCTGGTCTGAGAATCAGGAGTGCCAAATACATTAACAGAGGAAGTGAATGACCACTACTGGACATTTTTATGCTAATTTTACTATTCTTTATTTTATTTTCATTTTTTACATCTTTTATTTAATTTTCACTTTTTATAGCATTTACTTAAGAAAAATTTTTTCTATTTTTTTCCTTACTTCATTTTACCTTTTCAATTATTACATTTTTCAATCTTTATCATCACTATTACTACTGCTATTTTGCAATTTTTGTTTCTTTCCTTTTTTTTTTTTTTTTTTTTTGTTCTTTGTTTTTTCTTGTTTGTTTGTTTATTTGTTTGTCTGTTTGTTTCCTCTCCAGTACCATTTTATTTTATTTTTTTTCTGTATTTTACATTGGGAATAACCTCCATTCTATTTTAATCACTACTTTAGCATCATTCAACCCTATCTCAACTTGACCTTTACACCATCACTCTCTTACTAAACTTTACCCTTTTAGTCAACGGTTTATCCTATCCCTTTCCGGCTCTAGATTTTCCTCTATTCTTTCTGTATACCCCTTGCTAAAGCTCTCACTATACGTATAGACCTAAGTTCCAACCCCTGATCCAAGTGTATAAATACCAATTTCTGTACTATATTAACTAGTTAAAAAAAAACAAAAACTGTTCTCCCCTCTATCCTTTGCGCATTGTTTGTGTGAGGGTTGATTATTGTGAATTTTTATGCTTTTTAGTGAAATGGTTATGCTTATTCCTGTGTTGTTATTGTTGCATTGTATTTTTTTTTAAAATCCTCTGTTTTTGTTTGTTTCTATTACTTCTGTATATCATAGACTTACTTAATAATAGTGGATATTGTAGTTTGTATTAATCTCCAAGTATTGTTACTGGCATTGGCTGGGTTCAGTAGTTGTTCTATGGCAATTTTCTCCACATATATATAGTTTGTTTCCCATTTCTCTTTTAGTTTGCTTCTTCTCTCCCTTTCTTTCTCTCTCTCTCTCTCTCTCTCTCTCTCTCTCTCTCTCTCTCTCTCCTTTCTTTTTTTCCCTGTTTTCCAACTTTATTTTGTCATTACTTTTTTTCTTCTCTTTATATCTCTTTATCCTTCTTTTTTTATTTTATTTTCTTAATTTTTTTTTACATTTTAATTTTATAAAAAATTTTCTTTATTTTATTTTTACCTTTCTTCCTTCTCCCCTAACCCCTAAGTTGCCTTTCTCTAGTGGTCACCTTTATTTGAGGTTATTAATATTGTAAATACATTCCTGTTAAGTGCCTCTTGTGTTGAACCTGGTAGTGTTGTATATTGTACCTTTAAATCAACGCAGCAGAAGGAACACCACATAACCAGACACCCTGAAAAGAGAGGCTATGGGGAGACAAAAACATAGTCTGCACATAAAAGAAAAGCAGGCATCACCAGAAAAGGAAGTAGAGTCAGAGGCAACCAGCCTAACAGAGCAAGAATTCAGAATAATGATCATAGGATGGCTAAAAAGAATGGAAGAGAAATTTGACAATAACCAAGAAGAAATGAGGAAGAACCACGAGGAATTGAAGAAGAACCAAGAGGAAATGAAAAATGACATCGCTACCATGAAGAACTCAATAGAAAGCATCAAGAGTAGACTAGATGAAGCAGAGGACCGCATCAGTGAGCTAGAAGATAAGATGGAAAAATATACCCAAGTAGAGCAACTTCTAGAAAAAAAGATTAAAAAGCAGGAGGAGAGCCTACGGGAGCTTTGGGACAATACAAAACAAAATAATATTCGAATAATAGGGGTTCCAGAAGGAAAGGAAACTGAGGTAGACATGGAAAAAGTATTTCAAGAAATAATGACAGAAAACTTTCCTGAAATAGAGAAGAAAAAACCCACACAAATCCAAGATGCTCGCAGAGTCCCAAGCAAAATGAATCCCAGAAAACAGACTCCAAGGCATATTATAATTAAATTGGCAAACAACAACGACAAAGTAAGAATCTTAAAAGCAGCCAGAGAGAGACAGAAAGTTACATACAAAGGAACCCCCATCAGACTAGCAACTGATTTCTCAACGGAAACTTATCAGGCCAGAAGGGAATGGGATGAAATATACAAAGTCATGCAAAGAAAGGGTCTGAATCCAAGAATACTGTACCCAGCAAGGCTATCAATCAAAATTGAAGGGGAAATCAGGAGCTTCACAGACAAAAAAAGACTGAAGGAATTTATCTCCACCAAACCAGCAATGCAAGAAATGCTAAG